CTGCCCATGGTAAAGTTCTACTTTCCATATTTGAATAAGAAATATGAGTGTTGCATCAGCTTCTAAAATCTTAAACTTGATAGGATGAGGTTTATGGAATTTAGGTTTGCTAAATGTAGCCTTAAATTTTGATTTCATTGTAATCCTTGGTATTGGCAATCCCAGTGCCAAGGAAGTTGAAATGCTCCCTTCAATGAGGTTGTAGTGCCAACTGGCATCTTTACTGTCATGGTTTAATGAAGAGCACTGTCAAGGTGTTCATGCCAAATCTGACCTGTTTCTTTATAGGAATTTTAGAAAGAGGGAAAACCATCTTACTTTGGATCTTCCAAATCCCTTGCATTGCTGAAAAACAAACTTCTTAAAAGTTTTCAAGCATGACTGATTTTGATGGGGGGAAGTAAATGATTATTTATTCAGAACAAATATTGATGCAGATGAAAAATGAAAATTTACATGGAAGCTGAAATTGTAATCACGCGTCCACAAGATAAGGTGGACTATAGGATACATGTCAAAATGGACTGGAATTGACTTACCTGTAGAGTTTGTAAGAAATGGTGAGTAATAAGTAACAGAATCTTGACAGTGTTCTCGAATAATTATGAATTCAAGCCATTCTGACTTTTACAATTAAACATTATTTGCACTGTTCTGACATTGGTGCAGTTTTTTTAACAGTATAATGATAAAAGCTACAGTAAAATGCATGTGGAAATTTGTATTGTGGAAAAATTGATCTTTTAAAAGAAAATGTTAATTTTGAAAGTTTTAAAATTGAATATGTAAAGGAAATGATACTTCACTAATGGATATATAGATATATGGTTTTAGATAACGCTTAATTGATCGTGATGGATGTCATTGTTGTAGATCACATCAACATTATTTGAAGTTATCAGCCTATGATGCTTACAAAATATCACACATCCTGTTATATTAAGACAGAAGTTTACTATTGTATTACAGCAGAAATGTTGGAGGTATATAATTCTGTGTTAGCTTATATATTAATGAAGGTATTTGTGTTCCAGAATTGAGTAGCTTATGCAAATTACTGTTGAAGCTTATAGAAGAGCTTACAGAAAACTAAGGATTGGAACTAGTCTATTTTAATGAAAAATAGTATTTCTTGGAACTCATGTTTAAAGCAATTATTCTAGACTTTACAGTCTACATTACATAGCATATAGCTGAACTAAAGTGAACTTGATAAGCAACAATATTTGCAAACATAAGTGAATATAAGAAGTGATGAGTAAACTAAATTTGATTGTTTATACCAGGGGTGTCAAACTGCCAGCCCGTGGGCCGGATATGCCATCAGGAAGCCGCGCCCACCTCATTGCCGGCAATGGCAAAACCGTCCCGATACATTGCACAATGTCACATGACGTCGCGAGTTTGACATATCTGGTTTATACTCTAATAAGTATTCTTAATCACAGGTAGTATATAACTAAGTTTGGCTGAAGTGGAAAAAAATCTGGAAATCCCAGGGCTTATATACTAGACAGGGGCAATTGCCACTATTTGAATAGTTTGCCATGTATTGACATGATCATCAAAAATTAAGCACAATTTAAGATAGTCGTTAAAGAATATTCTGACAAATCATTAACTGAGAATTGTCAACTACATAAAGGTATCCTGAAATTCTGTTTGCCCTTCAAAGATGGCTTTTAAAGAAAACTGTAAAAAAGTATGCATATACTTTTGATAGTCCTTGGTAAGAAGTTATGTTCTATGAAGTAAATAGGGGTGATGTTAAGCATACTTTATTACAGTAAAAGATGAAAATAAAATAACACATTGGAAATGAAACTCAAATTATTAAAAAAAAGATATTCGTTAAAAATGAAATAGTTGTAAATTGATTTAAGATCGTACAACTTTTGAGATTAGAATCAGTATTTACTTATAAGTTAAATATGAATGACTAACTGGATACTATATTTAATCAAGCAATGAGTTTTTTTGGATTTAATTGCTGCAAAAAAAACTTGTGACATTGTATTTACTATAGTTGTGTTATGCCATAGTATTATACTTTTTAATACTTTTTAGAACAAAACGTCAAGATGTTATATGAAGTGTATACTGCCCCCCCCCCCCAAAAAAGACTTGGAATTCTAGGAATAGTACATGTGTTGAACACTCAGAAACATAAAGTTAATATTAAATGATTAATGTCATACATATTTAATCCTAATATTCATATACTCTTCTAGAATAGGGATATGTTAGTATGATTGTCTGGTATTCTGAAGAAGTTGTGCACAGACAATGGAGGTAAGTAGGTAATAAGATTTCGGTATGATTGAGTTAAAACAGGTGATATAAAATTCTAAAAAGAAGGAATTCCTCCATTTTAACCCATCTGCAGACAAAAGATGGGAAGAAGGAAAATTTGCCAGTATTATTCTGCCAAGCACACCAACTCACATTCAATTTGGAACTGTCCATGAATTCACAGATACAGAGATTGGGGGCAAAATGATGCAAATTGCCCTTTGAAATGTTCTCCCAGACGCAAGGTGAGCTTCCATTCATGGCCTTTTGGAAAGATCTGTAGGCCTGGCTGTACTTCCCCACAGAGGAGCACATAGCTGTAGAGAGAGCTAACTTGCCCTGCTCTTGAGATATAAAGCTTTTGTGTTTTTATACCTATGTATACACCACCCAGAAGTGTTCTGTGAGGGAGATCAATGGTTTCTAAATGTGATCTATATAGGTTAACCTAGGAATAGAAAAGCATTCATAGAATATTAATATACAAGGACTCTTTCTTGAATGCAGAACATAACTGTTTTAATAATGTACTGTATTCCAGACAGAATCATGAATTCCGTGCCAGTACCAAAGCGCTTATTTGTAGTGGGATTACAAGGCTGGGACATCCCACATGAGAAAATTACATGTGCAGATATTTGGATGGTTGTGCCAAGAATAACCATACTTGGATTACTTTTTCTAAGACTAACTCATTTGCTCTGTGGGGGGTGCCCATTTTGTATAGTTTGCATTTATACTTAGTAGTTTAATTCTGAAACTACGTTTAATTTTTGTTGGATATTGACTATTTCATTGCAAGCTAAACTACAAAATGTGTATACCGTACTTTGTTAAAATAACCTATTGACTTTTCTGAAAGAAAAATATCTAAAGGAAACTACAGTACTTTAAATTAGTTTTAATTTTAAAGTAATGGTTAGAGCAGGGGTGTCAAACTGCCGGCCCACGGGCCGGATGCATCATGGCAAAACTGCGCCCAACCATTGCTGGCAATGGGAAAAAAAGTCATGATACATCGCAACACATCACGTGACATTGTGAGTTTGACACCCCTGTGTTAGAAGATTGTGGAAATATCACATGATAATGAGTTCTATGCTTTTTGTTCATGCCACAAAACTGAAGCTTAAAAAGATTTTTTTTTACTTATAATGATCCAGATCATACTGCATAGCAAGCCAAATTAGGTTTATCAAAATGTTAAGCTATTTTTCCTGCAATTTAATTTCATATTAGTTTTGATTTGCACAATACTAGTAGTTAGCCTTATAGATGACATTATTAAAGGAATACATCCTAGCACAAACACATGACACAAAAACCATCTTTCTATATAATGCAGTTACTTAAGCTTTAAAACACAAAACTCAAAAAAGTTTCAAATACATTTTAATACCTTAGAGAAGGAGGGTTATACTTTCAGCATTAATAACTCAAGACTTTTCATAAATGGAGTTGCCCATAGAGAAGGTTGTGTTTCCTGTTCTCATGCATATAATTTCATTGGATAAGGGGCATAACAGAAACATCCAAAAATCTCCATTTGGGCCAGGAAAATATTTTAAAAATATATTCCTTTAAATATTTACAACCCAAATTGTTCATGGTTTTAAATATATAAAAAGGGACTTGGAAATTTTTGGGAGATCTATTTATGTAGTCCGATTATATTCATTTCTATTTAGCTTAGCTGAGAGGTCTTTAGAATATAATATACATCATTGGGGGAAAGAGTGCTGGGATGTGCGTGATAAAACTGCCTTAAAACGGCAGCTGTCTCCCATTATAGTCGGGAAAGAATAGGGGGCTTGCAAATTGTAACCGACTTTTTTTTAGCAGAGTTCATCCAGTAAACAGGCTTGTAACTTGTAGCCAGCTTTAAATTAATCTAGAACAGCGACTTAGCAGTAAAATCAAACAATGTCAATTGGTTAGCAAACTCACATAAGCACTTCATCAAGAAAGACAGTCTCTTGGAAGCCTGCTCCGTGTCTTCGATAACCAGCTAATTATGTAGCCGCACGGGAGTATACCGCATTAGCGGAGCAGGTGAATGCAATTTATCGCTGGTGACGTCCAACTGGTTTGCATCGGAAGTGATGAACGGGAACGGGTTGCTTAGGTATAACTGCCAGCTTCCCTCAATATTTGCCATATCGGCTGCAAACGAACGAAAATTGGAATTGATATTCAGCAACATCTGGTCCCCAAGTTTCCTATCGCTGCTGAAAAAACATCTTTCTGCAATGGATTTGTGGGCAGGACACACTGCAATCAAGCCCAGGCATCTCTTGAGGGAAGAAGCTTTCAATTCGGGAGGGAGCCGCCGCGTTTTTAGAGTTTCAAGGCTTCCATCCAACAGAAAGCGGGAAGTTCGGCGTTCCGGGCACCTGGGGAACGATTGACGCCGCCATTTTAATTGGCTTTATTTCCTCCAGGCTAAAGGGCAATCTTAAGAGTCACGTAAGGGCGGAAGTGCCTCCTTATATTCCGTTCTTCCCCTTCTTGTTTGGTCGATAGTTTTTGCAACTTGAGAGATCGCGAGAAGAATTAAAGAAACGACCGAACTCCGCTTCTTTCAAGCAGCGGTTTATTGGCGATAACTAAGGGAACGGGAGAGGAAAGTAAGCAAGAACGGCTTCGGGGCCGGCGAGGATTATCTTCCGCCCTGGAGAAGCGACGCTATTGGTCTAGCCCTCCGCCACGTGATGCAAAAGGCTCGAGTGGTGGAAACCGGAAGGCAGGGGCTTTCGGTCCTTTCAAGTGTGCTACGGAGCGCCTGGGGATCCTTGGGTCAAGCTGAAGCTGGGGGCGCAGTCCCCACCCATCCTCCAGGATGAGGTGGGCACGCGCGGCCGTGGAGAGGCTGTGCCAGCGCGCGCGCAGGGTGGACTTTCTGCGCGAGACCTGCCGGCAATACCCTTTGTTTTGCTGTATCTTTTTGGGGTTCAGTGTGGCAACGCTCCTGCTCAGCCGGTAAGGAGACAAGTCCGCCTGGGTCCGGGTCCCCCGTTGCGGCGGTGATGCTGGCCGATATGAGTGAGGTGGCTTGGACTTGGTTACATGTGTTTGCTGGCGCAGCTTCTCCCTACGGGGCGATGGAGGAGGATATAACTCGAGAAGGAAAACGATACTTTTTGATAGGATGAAGAAGGGGAAGATGTGATGCTTTCTAAAACAAGAGGCAAAGAAGGCTTGCCTTTTGATATGACTGGGATGCCACGGGAACCATATAAGTTACCCAGTGGTTCTCAAAGTATGTAGCGCTGCGATCCCCTAAAAGTCTGGATTTGTGCGACAGCCCCTGCCCCCCACAAAGGAAATAATTCCATTGAGGTTGGGAAAGAAAGATATGTTACTTTTATAAGTTTTATTCTAACCACCACCATAATATATACCACAGAGTTATTGAATATTATGGAACTGTAGTTGTAGGACTTGCTCTGGAAAATGAGTAAAGCTCAACCAGTTTTGGTAATGTCCTACTTTACTGTTGCAAGTGTGGTTGGGTATTTTTTGTTCTTTTTAAATGTGATTTCCAAGGGGCTCTGGCTTACCCATCGAGAACCCCTGGCCAAGTAAGAATGGGAGGCCAATAAGATTAGATACACTGGCATGGAAGTGGCTGGATTGTTTTCCCTTCTCCCAGCCCTTCAGTTTACAGTACTGTACACGTAACTCAGCATAGCACACATTGTTTTCACCAACCCCAGTCAATTATCCAAGTTACTAATTTCTTACCATATGTTTATGCTCTTCCTTTTTAGCATGATTCAGGCAGGTAGAAGGCGTAAACATAAACATGTATGATTGTTTTTCTTCTTACCAACTTTCTAAAGGATTCCAGTTAATTTCACTTTTTTGTCTCAGTGTACATAATCCACTTATAAACAATTTGATGTGAAGGAGGGATTTATAATTTACCAGTGAAACAGCTTGCCTTCAGACTTCGTAGATGCTTCATCACTGGAGGTGTTTAAGAAGAGACTGGACAGCCACCTGTCTGAGATGGTATAGGGTCTCCTACTTAAGCAGGGGGTTGGACTAGAAGACCTCCAAGGTCCCAGTTCTGTTCTGATTGATTGATTGAATTGTTCCAATATAAACAAGGCTGGTTTTCTTTTGAGTTACGCTTCAAAAGTTCCTTTTAGAAAAAAAAAGGACAGTATGAATTGTTCTTTCTGAGAGATATGAAGAAGTTGGTTAAAACAATGGATGACAACTCCTCCTCCACTAGGGAATTTTAATATTTATTTACAGTATAGCTGTTTTAGAAGACTAATAAGAGTTATAGTTTATACATCTGTTAATGCCAGGTAGAGGAAATCTTATTTATAAGTTGTGGTCATAGTGTATGCAAAACAAAACAAAACAAAATTCAGATAACAAGTACATTGTCAGAATCTGGAGAGGACCAGTTAAGGAATAACAGACTTGTGAGTCTTGAAAGCATAACTAAAAAAAAAAATTTGAAGTAAACTGCTATTCTGATTTTAATTGTCAAGACATAATAGCCTCCAAGGCAAGGTGAAACAGTGCAAATGTGTTTATACTATTAGCAAAAAAACGGTCTGGTTAACAATTGAGTGCTTCCTGCCATTTCCCCCCTGCTTGTCTTAAATTGCTTTGTTATGCGAACCTAGAGCAACAACTTCTTTGGAATCATAGAAATAGGGATGTGTAACCAGGGTTTATTGTGGGTTTGTATATGTGGAATTTTTTTCTTCCTGAAATAGTACAGGAAAGATCAAGAGTAAGGGCCAGGTTTAAAGAACTTAACCGATTCCAATAGTTGCATTTTGGTTATTGTAAAGAGATTTCCCCTTAGATTGCTGAAATGAAACTAAAGCATCAAATCCTTCTTTTTCCCTAACCCATAAAATTGCCAGCTTTTTTTTGAACTCAAGACAAATTCATATTTAATACAGTATTTATATCTATTTTGGAAATCTTACACTGAGGAGATAGCTTTTTTTAAAAAAAAAAACTAAAGTTGGGTTTTGGTTGCCATTTTCCTTCCTTCCTTGATGTATGATGTTTGCATGTTCCTAACTACAATACTTTATTTATTTATCAAATTTATATGCCACTCATCTCTATCCAGAACGACTCTGGACAGCAAAGTAACATTTTCTCTTAAAAATATTAATAAATAAAGCATTCTGTAAATTGGCCTATTGGGCCTGAGTGTGCTCTTTCTAAAGTAAATACCATGCAGGATGATTGTTTTGATAGGTATGTTATTATACTTTGGGCATGTAGGTATTGAATATAATATTCTAGATTTAGAGGCAGAGCTGTGTTATTTTTCACTGTCTGTCGGATTGTAATTTTTCCCTTTACTTTTGAGGTATCGTCACATCTTAATGATCTTCTGGTCTTTTGTGGCGGGATTTGTAACATTCTATTGTTACTTAGGACCAGATACCCTCTTACCAAATATTCTGTTTACAATAAAACAAAAATCCAAGGTAATGTATAATTTTATCAATGTACTTTTGATACCTCATGATGGACATTATTGAAATATTGCTTGTGTTCCTTGCAGGCTTCAGCATGTTTAAATGTTAAATGGGAAGCTAACATTTTAGATCTATTCATTAGTAATTACTTTTAGTTGCTAGTGATGCAAATGAATTCTATCCTTGATCTAAAAGGAAGAATAAAGTTGTAGAAATAACTTGTGATTGTGTTAAAGGTGTGTTAAATAAACATTTTCTTTTACTTTTGCACCCTTGTATGTTTTGAAACATTTGAACATAGTTGTTCGGCAAATTTTGATACTATATGTAAAGATTTGTAGTGGGAACAGGAAGTCCATTTTGCCATTATGATTTAATAAAGTTAGTTTAATTTCACTCATAGGTTTAATGGCATTTTTTTAAAAAAATCATTCTTTTACCATTCTCAAAAAATTGATTGTAAGACAGTCCTTTAATCAATTAAATTAAATTAAAATTATTTGATAGATTTTCATTGATTAACTGGGTAGGATATATTCATAACATATAAAGAATTATTTTGTTGAGTTCACTGTATAACTACTGAATATATTACCTATTAGTGAACTAATATTTAGAAATCTTGGCTAGGAAGAAATTGTTCATCCTTATTTTGCTTTCTGTATTTTTAGATCATACAAAAAGGCTATGAAACGTACATATTAAAAAAAGCACACAAGAGTCTTCAGATGTAGGTGTTATGAGAGTAGAGCTGGCAAGCTTATGAGACTGGAGAAGTGACTTGAAGTTGTAATGAAAGAGGGAGATTCTAAGGCAATTTATATTTTTCTGCTTACAGGTATCCTCGACTTATGACTGCAAGTGACCCCCCAAATTTATGTTGCTAGGTGACCTAAGTGGATCTTTTTCCATTTCAAACCCTTTCTTGCACAATTGTTAAGTGAATCACTGCAGTAAAGTTAATACGGTTGTTAAGTGAATCTGGCTTCCCCATTGACTTTGCTTGTCAGAAGGTCGCAAGAGGTGAACCTATGATCACCTAGGATGCAGCAACCGTCATAAATACACATGACCATGGGGATGCTACAGCAGTGTGAAAAATAACCGTGTCACTTTTTTCAGGCCCATGGTAACTTCAAACTGTCACTAAACTGATAGTTGTAAGTTGAGGACTAACTGTATTTTCAGATAAGGTTTGATATTACTGCTGCTTTAAACGAATACACCCAGAACTGACTGTAGTGTTAAAAGGGGGGGGGACTTGCAAAGTTTTCACTTGCAGCATTATCCAAAGTAATTCCTATTTCCCTGATTTGGTTGGCTTGGTAGGAAAGTTAGTCTTTCAGTAGTAGCTAATAAGGACTAATGGGGAGAAAGGGAAGGCAGAAGAGAAGGAGAAATGACATTTTGAAGTGGGAGCCAAACTCTATACCAGTGATGGCGAACCTTTTAGAGTGCCCCAAAACCACCTCGCCCCGCCTCTCCTGCCCACAGGGCCACCCACCGCCTCCATGGCCCGCCACAGCAGATCGCCCAGGCAGCCCAGCAGCGTCATGGCGGCCACGCTCTCTGTCCGCACCCCACAGCATCATCTGCACGCAATGGGGTGTGAGGGCGGAGTCTTGTCCCTGCTGCCTGGCTGCCATGTCCTTGGCTGCGCTGCTCCACACAGGCTACGACCGGAGCAACTCTTGGGGGGGCTGCTGGTGAGGGGGCCGTGGGGGGTGGCGAGGCTGAGGCGACGGCGTGCGTACCCACAGAGAGGGCTCTGAGTGCCACCTCTGGCAGCGTACCATAGGTTCGCCACCATTGCTCTATACATTTGAGAATTGCTTCAGTGTAAATTACCTGAACTTTCTAGCTAATGTCTCTTAAAATATATTTATGCTAGGGGAATATTTTTTGTTTTTTTCCATACTGTACAGATAGTCTTCAACTTACAACCATAATTGAGCCCAACATTTATGTTGTTAAGTGAGACACTTATCAAGTGAGTTTTGCCCCATTTTATGACTTTTCTCACCACATTTCTCAAGTGAATCACTGGAGTTCTTAAATTAGAAACACGGTTGTTAAGTGAATCTGGTTTCCCCATTGACTTTGCTTCTCAGAAGGTCACAAAAGAGGTCATCACATGAGTCCGGGACACTGCAACCATCATAAATGTGAGTCAGTTGTCAAGCATCCGAATGTAAATCACGTCACCATGGGGACATTGGGTCATAAATGTGAAAAATGGTCATAAGTCACTTTTTTCAGTGGCTTTGTAACTTTGAATGGTCACTAAATGAACTGTTGTAAGTCGAGGACTACCTGTAATTGCATTTCCTCACTTCCACAACTGACAAAGTTTGATCAGTTTTGTTACCAGAAAAAAATTCTTGAAATGGATAGCTATTTTCCTAGTATACTGAAGAATGAATTTCTTTCTGTGTTTTGCTTTTAGCAATTAAAATTGCAAGAACAATCTTCCCAGAATGGCAGTTGTGCTATATGTGGAGATATCAAATGTAGTAGACATGGGTGAGTTAAAATATTTTGGGAGGTAATTATATTTTCATAACTTAATAAAGATGAATGGAATATTTTTGTTGTTGTTTCTATAGACCTGCATCGCTACTAGAAGATTATCAGCCTTGGCTGGGCCTAAAAGTTCCTTCTAAAGTTGATACTTCTTTATCAGAGGTAATTGTTTAGCATTAGCAGTTTTAGATAACTCATGTTACTCATTTTTTAAATTAGAGGTTTTTTATTGCAGCAGTATCAATTGCTGTTCTTCTAAAAATGCTTAAATATCAATATTTCTGTTGTATTTTCTAAATCCCAAGATGAACAACAGTTTTCATTATTTTTACAGTTGTTACCTTGGTAGATAGTTAATTCTTTCTGGCTGCTGATAATGTAATAGCATTAGAAAATCTACGTGCTATTATTCAAGTGTCTCATAAACTGAATACGTGCGAAAATTTATCTAGCTGTACTCTAGGACCTATAACTATGAAAATAGATGCAGGTAGCTATTGTTGTTATGTATGTTATGGAATATGTCCTTCAGTTGCATACCATGTCCATGGTTATCTCATGAACAAGCAACTTGAACTACCAAATATGGAGTGAAAAATATTCTGTTTAGTGCTCTTACATATTTATATGCACTAAGTATTATTGTTGGCTATTTTGTGGCATACACGTCTTAATTATTTTACTTGTTTGCAGATGTTTGAGCTAGTACTAGAAAACTTTATTTATCCTTGGTACAGGTAAGATTCTTATGTAATTTGCCTTTGAAATTCCATCTGACCTTCCTAAAACAGTATTTTGTTATCTTACTTTTAGGTTTAATTGGGTTGTTTAATTATACATTCCTCCCTCCTCCCCCCCCCCAGGTCAATTTGTACCTTAAGTCAAATTATATTGTAAGGTCTTGCTTGTGTGGTGATATATGACTCTTTAAATTCTGACTTCAGTTTTATTTTCACATGACTATTTTTGTATTTCTGCCTCCATCTTTATTTGTTTACATAAAGCATTTACATGTCTGCCCATCTTAAACAAATTCTAAGCAGCTCACAACCCAAGAATAAAAACAACAAAATAATAGCAGAAAACCTAATCACTCACAAGTGTTACCAGTTCTTGTCCAGTATGTATACTTCTCTGGGGATAAAATCCATGACATCCAGTAGGACTTACTACAGAATTAAGAACACTTAACTTTATGGATTCTAAATGCAAGCTTTTTCCCCTTTTCCTGTCTGTATATTGGTATTTTGAGTGTGAGCCAGAAACTTGTGTGTGTAGAATAGATAGAGTATATATGTATGTTGATAGGATAACTTTATAAGCAATTGATTTTTATTGTTAGTTTAATTAGTATTTAACTTTTTTGTCCTGATTTTGCCTGTTCTTGGAAGCATGGTCATGAATATTGTCCATGCATTACTGAGGCAAATACAAGTATGTCAAAATACTTATATGTTTGGGGCAGGGATCCTTCAGAATTGGTTTTGATGGGAGTTGGCAATTCTTAGTTACAAGACAGGATCCTGGGCGATGCAGAATTTTGTTTATTTCTAGTTTTTTTCCTGTTTAAAGTTCCTTTTTTTTTTTTTCATTTTGAGCTACATTAGATTTTCAGCTTTTTATTCTAGCTCTCAGTGCCTTTGATGTATAAATCTGATTTTTAAATACCTATAGATATTTTCTTCAGTTTCTAAATAAAAGAAATTTTGATTAAAGGGGAATAATCCCATTATCTGAGGTATAACTTAAATTCCAAAGCTCCCTAGTAAGGTTTGGTAAGTGTTCCAGTTTTCAAGTTTAAACTTTGCAAAAAAAATAAAATAAAATAAAGTTAAATTAAAATTTAGTGTGAAAACTGCTAGAAGACCATTTCAAAGGCTTCCTCAGAATTCTTCCACTTAACGACAATATTAAAGTGCTGCTCTTTAGGAAGTTTCTGACTATTGTTCTGATCTCTGATCTGCTTCAGCAAAAGGCAAATAAGAATGTAGCTTGCAGGAGAAATGCGGGAGGAGAGAGGCAGGACAGGGAACTCTCCCTGTAGTTTCAATTACTTCTGTTAGTTCTTCAGTCCATAGAATGATCGCTCTGGAATTGGAGATCTGACAGCAATGGGGTTCGTCTCCCTGCTTTGCTTGCTTCAAAGAGGAGAGGAGACTTCATTCCCACCCACCCCTCCATTTCTCCTATTGCCAGAGAATGGAGGGAGAGAAGGGTTTTTGCTGTCATTTTTTTTTTTTTTACTTCCATGGAGCGATTGTTCAAAGAAATCAATATTGACAGCGACAGACCTGCTCTCTTCTTTTATTTTTTTTTCTCCCTTTCCATTCATAGACTAGATCAGTGGTGGTGAACCTATGGCACGCATGCCAGAGGTGGCACTCAGAGCCCTCTCTGTGGGCACATGCACCGTCACCCCAGACCTGCCTCCCCCACGGCCCCCTCCTCATCAGCAGCCCCCCGGAGACTTGCCCCCGAACACAGTCTGCGCACAGCAGCACAGCCAAGGGCATGGCAGCCAGGCAGCGGGGACAAGACTCTGCCCTTGCACCCTGTCACACATAGATGATGCTGCGGAGCATAGGTGGAGGGCATGGCCGCCATGGTGCTGCTGGGCTACCTGGGCAATCTGCTGCGGTGGGCTGTGGAGGCCGTGGGTGACCATGCGGGTGGGCAGGGCGCAGAGCAGGGGTGGGTGGGGAGGCGGGGCGTTTTTGGGGCACTCGGTCTCTGAAAGATTCGCCATCACTGGACTAGATACTGCAACAAGTAATCCACAGTTGGTGGTGCAATCTTGGCGTGTATCTTATGGAATATTATGGGATGTGTGTTGAAAATTGCCATGGTTGGTAAGGAGCTGTCATGGCTTTCTCTGGAAGGAAGTGGTTAAAGAACCATTTCCTGACCTCCCACATATATATCGGTCTCTGAGCCTTGGCAGCTCTGAGGATCTGCATGATGGGCAAGAAGATTGCTATGACTGATCCTCAAACAAAAGTCGAAAGCCCCCCAAAATTGTTAGCAAGAATTATGTTATTCTGAACGCACTTATGATTTTTTTTCAAAATTCTGAATAGCATATTTGAGTAAAGTTCTCAAATTATTAGTATTAGTATTTATGTTTATAGACCTCGGAATATCATAGGCTTGTTGATTTATAGATAAGAGACACAGGAAATAATATAAAGATTATAAAATGTATACGAAGAAAAAGTCCACAAACTAATGTAAACCTAAAATAAAACTAGTATTATTGTTTAATAAAATTAAGCTAACCAAACCGTAGCCAAACTAACATGGAGCTACATTTTGTTTTGAAATTCTATAGACAGATAACTGATGATGAATCATCCGTGGATGAACTAAGAGTAACATTACGATTTTTTGCATCTGTGTTACTTCGCAGAATTTACAAGGTGAGAAACACAATGATGGGATCAGTACTGTATTTAATTAATGCTTTGAGGCATAGGCATAGTAAAAAATATTTAAGAGATTATCTCATTGTAAATATAATTGTTTTATATTCATTTTATACTTGTATAATTCTTTAAAAAAACCTTGGAAAAAGTTAGTTTAGTAGAGAAGTGAAAAGCATTTAATGATAAGTTTTTATGAACTATAAAGAGATAGTTGTTCATCTCTTCTGAATGCTTTTATGAAGTTTGCAAAATAGCTCCAAAATAATTCTTAATAAGTAAGTTCCTTTACACAAGCAAAAGCTACTAGCAAAACAAAATTTACTGTAGAATTTTAAACAAGCCTATTTCATAAGTACAATAATACAGTCAGGAGTTGAACCTAGTAGGTGGCATGTGGTTAACATAAATGTCATTGTATAAACAAATATATTTCATAGTTACCTTCTTAATTGCAACAGAGCAAATAATTTCTCTTCCTATTTGTTCTTCAGGTGAATATTCCAACTGTTACAACAACAAAAATGCTGAAAGCAGCAATGAAACACATAGAAGTAATAGCTAAAGCTAGACAGAAAGGTAATATTAAACATTGTATGCCATATATTTAGAAATAAATTGACCTTTCTGCTCTTATATTTGCTTTTATTTTTATTCTTTTAAATATTGTCAGAAATGAATTTTCATATGAATTTTACTGAATTTAATTTTTCTACAGTAAAAAATACAGAATATTTACAGCAAGCAGCTTTAGAAGAATATGGACCATCACTCCATGTGGCTTTGAGAAGTAGAAGAGATGAACTCAATTATTTAAGAAAACTTACTGAACTTCTTTTTTCCTATATTCTGCTTCCAAAGGCAACAGATTGCGGGTATACTATACTTCAAGTTATATTATGAAGCTCTAATATTCAGTGTGTTTAAATTTTCAATTTTTGTAGAATAGAAAAGCTAACATGTCAGAAAATCTTGCTATAGGCAGATTAGTCTTCCAGTCTTAATTTGTAACAGATAAATGAACTTTGAATAGTTGATTCTTTCACTGTTCATGAAAAGCCATCAGTGTAGGGTATGAATTTGGTGTTGTCGATGCTTGATTGTGCTAAATTTCAGTCAGTGAAGGATAATGTTTTATTTATCTTCAACCATCAGGTATGCCACCTCCATTGCACAAAAGGCCACACCACTATTGAAACTGCTTATCAGGGCCTACATTGCAAAAAAGGATTCAATTTATTCCACATAAACTGGAATAAAATAACAAGTTGCAGACCTGTGGTTTACATGAATGCATTTTACTTCGCTCAAAACTTCTCAGATCCGTTGAATATTTATAGTTTGTCAACTAATTCCAACCTGGTCTTTGGAATTGGTTTGAATATTTCTTTCCTTGAATTTGCAAAACCAGATATAAAAGTAAATGGATGGGTGCATGAGTTTTGTGTTCATGTATTTGTATTTCTTCATGTTCTATGTGAATGACATAAATAAGAACTTATCTCTCTGCAGTATTCTTCTTGCAGAAAATTAATGGAGTTCTGCCTCTGGGGGTCAGTTAAATAAGGAAGTCCACATCTTTTTAGCCAAAGCTTCTAGAGATGTCCACCAATAAAATTAACTTGTCCAGATTCAATGGAAAATATGGAGAGACCACCATAACAATCTTTGCTCTTCAAAGGCATGTCTGCCTATATTTTTGCCTCTGAGTTGAGAAATCAGTGCTAGAATCAAGGACTTTTTTTCCTAAGTGAATGGCTGCAAATCCCAGATTTGGAACAGACTCTTTAGTACCTCTCTGGGATAACTAGCAATAGCTGTTTTAATACCACAACCTCTGAGAGATTCCCAAAGAAGTTCTAGTATGTAACTTGTCAGGAATGAACGATTTTTGCCTCTGCAATGATGTCACCAGTCCAGTTTGAGGATCACCTTGCCTATTAGTTTATGAACAGGACTTCTATTACCACTTGTCTATACATGCTTTTATATACAAGAAATACTCTACAGAATACCTCAAAATTCACTTTCTTCTCTAGATGCCTTGTTTACTTGTCCCTTCTCTAAAGTGGTTGTAGAACCAGTTATACTGTCTAGAACAAATACCAGTTTCTCTGGGGGGAAAAAACCCCACTGCCCCTGCTTTAATCATTGCATTAACTTTGATAGGCAGATCCCATGATAGTATGTTTAGAATCAGAGGAAGAGAGATTCACATTCTATCTAGCTGGACAGTTCTCTGTTATCAGTTAAGAAGTGGCTTCCTCACAAGTTTGCACTAGAGCTATGAGTGTCTGCCTCAAAAAGCTGGCAGATGAAGGGGGAAATATTTCTGGTTGCTAAGACTTCTGTAATTTTATCCTATCCTCTTTCAAGAAATCCACATAAGAAAACTTAAGAGAATCTTATTTTCTGGGGAGATGGAAGTTCTTAAAAGCGGCAGCAGCATCTTTTCTCTCTCCAAGCAGTAGCATAAAAAAGTTGGGCAGTTGCCATGGAGTGCTCATGCAAAATTTAGAGCACTTTCTTTGAAACATTTTTAAACTTGAGAATCAGTTTGTTCTAGTGCAGTGGTTCTCAACCTTTTTAATGCCGCAACCCCCAACCAGTCGTAAGTCGAGGACTAAACCGGTCGTAAGTCGAGGACTGTCCCACCGGTCATAAGTCGAGGACTTTCCCTGCCCGGGAGCACAGCGCATGCGTGGTGCCGCCCCCTGCACCGGCTGAGGCGTAGCTGGCAAGCAGCAGAGACAGAGCAGGCCGACCACCGGCTGGGCCACCAACTGGCCCAGCCCAAGGGAGGTAAGGCACCCGCCGGAAAAGGGGAAAAAAATGGCAGAAGCCTTGCTTGGCGACCCCCATGAAATGGTCGATTGACCCCAAATGGGGTCGCGACCCATAGGTTGAGAACCGCTGCTCTAGTGGTTAAGGCACTAGACTAGAAAGTGGGAGAGAGAGTTCTAGTCCTGTCTTAAGCATGAAAGCCAGCTGGGTGACTTTGGGCCAGTCAGTCCGTTTTAGGCCAACCCATCTTACAGGGTTGCTGTTGTGGGGAAAATAGGGAAAGTGTATAAATAAATACACTTTGTATAGTCTATGTCACGGGTGCCAGAGGCGGCACTCAGAGCCCTCTCTGTGGGCACTCACGCCGTCGCCCCAGTCCTAGGCTTTCAGCTGGGTTTTATAAAACCTTTTCACTTTAGGCCTCCGCTGCCGTGTGCAAAAAAAAAAAAAAAAGGTTCAATCAGTCAATTTCAACTTCTGGCGGGGAAAAAAAAAGATCTTACAAAGTTGGAATTGATTGATTGAACTTTTTAGTCCCACCCAGTCTGCCATTACCACTGCAGCCACGCTCACCCAATTGGCCACACCCAGCCAATGGGCCACACCCACCTGGCACTCGATGATGCATAAGTGAGTTTTGGATTGCAGTTTGGGCACTCAGTCTCTTAAAGGTTCGCCATCACTGGTCTATGTTATGCTGTTAATTAGTTAACCTTTTTGTTTAGAAGGTGCTTAGCTATTCTAGAAGTTATTTCCGATTCTCTGTTGCATTCAAGCATGTTCTTCTGAACAATTAACAGATTAACAGCTTGGCCCCAACTCTTTTAGCTTCAGAAATGGTAGAGATTAGATATTTGATACATTCCGGATTACGTTTTTGGCAAAGCAGTGTTGACCTCTTAGTTTTGCAATCACCCGAACAAAGTGAAAAGCTTGCAGTTCTTTAAATGTGACAGTGAAACAAAGCTTACTTGCGACTTCAACTCTTCATTTAGGTTTTACATGGATTTACACCAACTACCCTCACTCACAACTATTATCCTTTCAGTCCTATGGCTTGCCTTGATTGTCTTAAGAAACTGCAGGATATTATCACAATGATATCTAGATGTACATCATTTTGAGGCAGAAATCCCACCACAAGTTTTTCTTAGCATTCTGAGGAAATCCTGCCCAGACACAAATAGTCATACGTGCACCATGAGAAACGAAGGAAAGAAAATTATAAATTGGGAATTGTTTTTTCTTTGTTAGTACAAGACATGTAGTGCCAAGCTATACCTTTCTGTGTATCTGGCTTCTCTATATGTATGCCAGGAGAGCAAATTAAATTACTTAGAAAGTATTAGTTATATGCAAGAATTACAAGCATCAAGAAGAAACAATGGTATACAGGCAAAAAACTGTGTTCAGTTCCATCCAGAGATGAAAATACAATAGGCTACTGTCATAATAAATGCCCTGTGGGCATAGAACTGTATTATTTACAGGATCACCTGCTCCCAAAAGCTAAATGAGTAGAGTCTACAATTTTTAGGAGTTACAATATATTTCAGATGCATTTGCCATATATTGCCTGCTTGATTTTAGTGATAGTTATTGGAGTTGGATTTTTTTTTTTTAATTTATTGGTTTTGACTTCTTTTCATTCTTTGGTATGCCCCCCCAAAGTCACATTGAGTAGGTGGATTATATAAAGACTACCGAAAAGAAAGAGGTGTGTGTGCGTACGTGTGCGTGTGCAGAGTAGTTTTCTGTGAAAAAAATGTAAGAAATTATATATGTATGTATTTATTTAACAGCACATTAAGAAATTCTTTACACCAGTTTAATTTGAATGCTAACTTCATGAAAGCGTATGAAGAAGGTATGATTGCATAAAATTGGCTTTTATTCTCTCCAGGACATTCACCTTACTCATAAGAGAAATCCTATCGGGTTCTGTTTTCCTTCCCTCTATGGACTACTTAGCTGATCCGGTAAGTGCTGAGAAACTTCAGGTAGTTTGTCTAGGCCAGGGGTAGGCAACCTTGGCTCTTTTATGACTCGTGGACTTCAACTCCCAGAATTCCTGACCCAGCATGGCTCAGCTTGGAAACCTCTCCCTTTCCCTTCAGCATGGCTGGCTCAGGAATTCTGGGAGTTGAAGTCCACGAGTCATAAAAGAGCCAAGGTTGCCTACCCCTGATCTAGGCCATGGCATGTATGGTGGCTTATAAAATGTGCAATGAAGGAGGAAGGGGCTTGATGAGAACTTAGATTTTTATTGAAAAAATTAAAAATGTTAACCTCAGGGTTGTCTCATTTTATATCCAGTTGAATTATAGCTTGCAAGGGTTGGGTATCTTAGTTAGGTGCAATGTAGGAGGTGTTTGTTGAAGAATCTTGGTGGTCTAATGGTTAAGATGCTTGCCTCCCACTTGGGAGATTGAAAGTTCAATCCTAGGCAACTACAGATGTTTCTCTGTCAGGGCACAAATAAAAAATATCTGCTGTGAGCTCCACGTGGTGTCAGGAAGGGCATCTGACAATAAACACTCAGCCCCATACAGTCACCCCCTGTACCCTGAATTAAGGGATTACAGTGTCATAAAAAAGGAGTTTTTGTTGAAGAATCTTTAAAATCTGAGGTGCAGTTTCCCATTTTGCATTCCCATAATCAATCACTGCAGCTTGAAGTGCTGGGAAAGGAAACAGGTTTGTGACATCAAGAATTGCTTCCTTAGAATAGCAGTTGTCTTTCTCTTAATGTTATCTCCTTGTCTTTCCCATTTTAGCATAAAAGAACGAACATTAGAGAAGAGTTGGGAGGCAGCTAAGCTTGATAGATAAACTTCTGGTAGATAAACTTCTAAGTTGACCATATTAGAGAATTAAATAAATTCATGTTATCATTTTATGTACATTTACACAAAGGTTCTTGTAAGCCACATCTAAGGTCTATAAAAATTGTATTACATGTATTATATGTGCATGCAAAGTAGTATAATAGTAGAAGAATTTCAAGAAAATCAGGTTATAGAAGGCTTTGCAGAATGGAGCTGTTACATAAGTTTATGTATGGAGGAGATTTTCCCTGTTTGCTGAATTATGAATTCCCTGTTTTTTCCCTTAACTGCAAGAAAAAATGAACTACAACGCCCAGCCCATCAGGATCTCCTTTGTGGGGACTGAGTTCCATTTCAAAAGCATGGCGAAAGGCAAAAAGTTCCATTCAATTCTGTACTCTTCACTTGTAGAAGCAGATAATGATATGATAATAACTGATCAGAGCTCTCAGAGTAATATCTAAAGGATTTCCTCAATATCTGGAAATATTGAATTTATCACACCTGAACATCTAATTTTACAAAATACTTTTGTGCTTGGAACTGTCTAAATTCTTAGACTGTATCTTAATAATTGTTATGTTCTTGGTTTTCATCAGTCTTAGATGTGAATCTAACTGTAGATAATCTACACTTATTAAATTTCTATGGCTGGTGTATTGAGGGCTCTATTTCTAGAGCATATTGCTGTTTCAGTGTAAAGTATGGGACCAGAAATAGAGATGGAGGTGGAGTCTTTCACACAAGTTGGAAGAAGGGCAGAAGTGCCGGATTCTTCTAATGGTGGGGTTTAAGAGTCTTTAAGAAATGTTTCTAAGGGAAATATAACATGAGATGCTTTTTGTCTCAGCTACCTCTTAAATATGTCTACCTTTTCTTTTAGGATACTGTGAACCACTTAATACTTATCTTCATTGATGATAGACCAGTGAGTACTACAAGAAAAAAAGAATTATAGTAATTGTGAAATCATACAGTTTTGTTCCTGGATGCTGGATTTTTTTTCTGGATTTTTTTCTTACAGCCTGAAATAGCAACTGAACCTGCTTCACCTTTGGTTCCTTTCTTGCAGAAATTTGCAGAACCTAGAAGCAAAAAATCTTCTGTAAGTGTGAAAAAAAGCATGTTAAGTGTATATGCCTTTAGAAAATGATGGCATGGATAGTTAGAAATAAATTCCATATTGAATCTTCTATTAAGGCCTTGCACTTTGAACTGAAAGAATTTGAAGACAAGCAGGATCTTTTCTTTCTATTTATGAGTTTTTTGAAGAAAGAAGGAAAAGTACACGTATTGCAATTTTACCTGGAGTTAGGTAAGAAATCCCTCTCAATGTGTTATCTTTTTAGTTACATTAAATAAAAATTCATTGTAAAAATAAAAAAAAATTGCTTCTGCAATGCACTTAAGGCTGTGCTAGCAAAACAGAAGGTATAAAGTGGCTTCCAAACTAAAGCTTATTATCTAATACAGTGGTTCTCAACCTGTGGGTCGGGACCCCATTTGGGGTCGAATGACCATTTCACGGGGGTCGCCAAACCATGCTGTCCGCCATTTTTTTCCCTTTTCCCTAGCTGTCCTACTCCCTCTTATTGGTGGCCACACCCACTTGGGGGTCACCACAGCATGGGGAACTGTATTATGGGGTCACGGCATTAGAAAGGTTGAGAATCACTGATCTAATACATTCAGTCATAAAAGGATGGAAAGGAAGAAGGAAAATAAGGGGAAAATTAATTTTTAAAGTGATGCTTATTACATTAAAATATAAGTTTGGACAAATAGCTTTTTTGTTGACGTTTTTCAGATTATGTATTGAACTCGGATTTCTTAAAATAAGGTACTTTGATTTTTTTAAAAAGTGAGCTGAATTGGAAAACCTCTCTGATGCATCATTCTGTTTATATTGTAGTAGCTATTGGATGCCAGTTGGAAGCTCCCGTGCAGGGGGCTTGAATCTGTATCCTGCCATTTATGAAATAATTATTTCCTTGGCTGCCAAAAATACGAACCTTTTCCCATTTGTAAAATATTAGGTTAGTAATTTGGGCAGGCTCTCCTTTCAAAAGCATTTTTTTTTCTTTATAACCCGAAGGAAGGATTAACGTTTTGAGAGTTGTCTTCTCTCTAACCACTTACATATAATTTGGCTTTGCTTGACTTTTTTGCCTTGTGAATTGCCTTAAATCAGTCTCTGATTGTGCTAATATAAAATCAAGTATTTTTTTTTTTACTTCTACTCTATGATGCTGCAGTTTTTTTACAGATAAAAGAATCTTCAGTTGTATCTCAAATGGTAAAAGCAGTGGTTGCAAAGTATCCCTTAATGTAACACCCCCAAACTCCTCTGGATTATTTGAATTTTCATAGTTTTCTGAAGAACCTAAATGCATTTTGGGATTGTCTAGGTTCACTTATATAAAGTTGGATGGAATTTCATGTTGCCTCAGGGAGCCACAGAATCTTCACACTGGCCAAATTCAATTCTGAATTTAGAGTCATATACCTTTTCTTGCAAATGAATTTTTCTGGTTCTTGGTAAGAGAAACGATGCCAAATAATTTCTAGGAAATGCACAGATTACATGTTGGTATTTATTCAACAGTGTTACTATTGAAATTGCAGTTGGTGGAATAATTATTGAGAATATTTTAAAGTAAAGGATTAACCTATTTGCCTTTAAACATTTTACATTTTATGTTTATTTTAAAATATCTGATTGCATGTTAATATATTACAGCAAAGTTTTGTATTTCATGTCTTGATTTCCCTCCCTTCTCCCCCTCCAGACTTAATTCTCTTTCTATAGTTGGTTTTCTGGCTTAGGAAAAAGCACTGTGAGAGGCAGCATTTTAACTTTGATTAAACTTCAACTTTCTGTTTGGCCAAAGATAGAACTTAGTCATCAGTGATGCATCCTATTCTAAATTTTACAGAGATAAATATATGGCAGGGATCCCAAAGTAGATTTGTTTCAACTTGCTGGGGTTTGTGTTGTTATCATAATCCAGTGTTTATGGATTTAATAGGTAAAACTATCTAAATATTATAAAGAACATTTTTAATAAAGGAAAACTGCCAGTGTTCTGAACTCAATACATTTCTTTATATTTTTTTATCCCCATCAACAGAGCAATTTAATAATAGAATTTTGCAGGCAGAATTATCAGATTCTGAGAAAATGTCCCTCCATGAAGAAGTCAAGAAAATCTATGAAACATATTGCTTAGATGAAAGCATTGACAAAATTAAATTTGATTCATTCATTGTGGAAGAGATACAAAGTAGTAAGTGAAATCACAAGGAAAATATATTTGAAGTTATTGCATTTTTTTCTGCATGATACTTGTAGAATAATACAGATATTGGCATGAATATGTCTTAGCAATATTAAGAATTTGGGCATTGTGGTACCATTACCTATGGAGGATATATTGGGAAAGGCTGGTCTACTCAATGAGCATATAACAAGGAAATTCTAGCATTCCCTAATTATAAAAAAAAATGTTCTCTCTTTGTACCTTGATCAGCCCCCCCCATATTTCCCATGAAATGAGAAACAAACAGATGTGGTGCCTTAGTAAAAATCAAGGTTGATTTCTGATGACTTTATGGAAATGTACACGTAACTTTTTGATAACAATACAGAAGTCATTTTCAGTGGCTTTTGGGATATCCTTTCAGTTTCCTAGTCTAAACTATAGATTTGGGATTCCTTGAAGTCTCCCATTCAGTCTGTCTGTCTGTCTGTCTGTCTATCTATCTATCTATCTATCTATCTATCTATTTGGGATTCCTTGAAGTTCGTTCATTCATTCATCCATCCATCCATCCATCCATCCATCCATTCACCGAACTTACAAATGTATAGCTTATATAGTTGTAAACACATGAAAAACGAAGAACAAATAACATAGCACATCAGACATATGGGCTCAGCCAAGTTCTCCTAGCCCCATTCTACTCAATTTCTAAACTCAAACAAAATCAGCCAAATGCTGCTAAGACAGATGTCTTAATCCTGAAATAGTAAACTTTCCTATAACTAAATGTTTTCATATTTATTATTGACATGTCTCACATTTTCATCTATAGTTGCTGAAGGCCCCTATAAGGAAGTTGTGAAGCTACAACAAATGCGGTGTTTCTTTGAAGCCTATGAACAAGTTTTCTCGCTCTTAGAGAATGTCTTCATACCTAAATTCTGCCACACATATGAGGTAACAAGTATTTGTTTATATTTGAGCCACCTCAGTTTGTAATTTTAACTCAAGGAGTCTACTTGCTTTTTGTCTCTCAACTGACGTAATTCTAGAATGAAATAACTCCTCTATATTAGCTCTAATGTCTGCACATATTCCAGAATTCTACAATGAATTAACCCCTCTATTTTAGCTCTAATGTCTTAAAAGTATTCTAGACTTATGGAATGAAATAACCCCTCTGCTTTAGCTCTAATGTCTGCTCAAATTATTGCAGTGCACAAGTGTGGAGCTTCCTTAAAAATAATAGAGAGATAATAATGTAGAATACTGACAGAAATTGAGCATTATGATCATGTTGTGCCACTATAGCTAGTGTCTGTACTAACTACTAATTCAAAGCACTGGTTTCTCTTTTAATGTCTATCTAGGTTTAAGAGAGGTCTCTTCTCTAATACATAGGCTTGTAAAAGTCTTTTCCAGTACAATTTATCAATTTTAGAGAGATTCACCAGGATGGACTCTAGTGTCTTCTTGGTTTCAGGCAAATATTTGTTTCAGCTGACTTTTTTTACTGTCACAAATATGTACTATACATTTTTAAAAATTATAGTACAGTATCAGAAAATATGTTCAAACATATTGCTATCTACTGTTTAGGTCTTTAATAGATTTCAGTATTGTCCTGCTTTCCATGCTGCTACGTATATGAACTATAAGTGATTTTTATTTCTAATCTGTATCTTTGTAAAATTGTTTCTGAAGAAAATATAATAGAGCAAATGGAAGAAAATAAAATAAGCATGCTTGGCAATTTTCAACTATTTTTCCTTATTTAGTATTTCAAGTACCTCTTTCAAGAAGTTGAATCCCCAACACGCAATTCCAAGTCAAACAAGTAAGTACAGGGTTAGGGTTAATCCTCAACTTATGACCCCAATTGGGAGTGGAAATCGTGTGTAAGTTGAGGCACCCATGTGACTGGACCCTTTTTTTTTTTTTTTTACATTTCTTGCAGTTATAATTAAGCAAAAGAACACAGTTGTTAAGCAAACCTATTCTTTTGAATGGACTTTTTTTGCTGGAAACTGGCAAAATGGGTCACAAATAATGGCCACATGATTGCAGGATGCTTCAACTGTGGTAAACGTGAGCCAGTTGCCAAGACCCAAAATGGGATCATATGACCGCAGGGGGTGGCAACTTTTTACAACAGCCAGAAGTGCTTTATTGTGCCGTAAAAGTACCCATTCGGAGCTGTCATAACTCCAAATGGTCATAAATAAATGGTCATAAGGCGAGGACTACTTGTATAATATACATGCATGTGTTGAAAGTTTTAAAGAATGTATCTGTTGGATGGGTTCATTACGATTCACGTTAAATTTTTGAAAATGGACTATTGTGCATCTTTGGCTGTAATTCAATATGTCATTCTTTTAAATACAGGTAGCCCTCTGGTTATGACAGCAATTGGGACCGGAATTTTCATTGCTGCTTAATAGAAATTATAGTAAAGCGATCATAAAATGGGAGGCTATGTGACTGAATCACCCTAGAGATGGCAATCACAGTTGCCATCATAATCCCAAGACCACACAGGTCATTAAGTGGGGGAGTAGCAGGTGTCCCAGGCAAACAGGATGGTGGATGAGATCTACAAGTGGAGGGGGGGGTACCCATTCTGCCCACCAATGAGGGATCTCAGCAACTGTGCACAACTGCCAGCTGGGGCAATTCTCCTGCTGGGCAGCAAGATGGGGATGTTTCCCCGGTGCTTCCCTCATGCTTAGCCAGGATGCCTGGTAGTGATTCTTGGCAGCTACTCAACCAAGGGCTTCCAGCATAGAGGATTAGCCAGAGGGGAAGGCAGCAATGAGTCCAGTGGAGGGGAGGCACGGCAAAAGACAAAGGTCAGCTGGGGGTGAAGGGGAGGCAGTTGTATATGCAGGGCTGTCTGCAAGCACCCAAATTTTGATTATGTGAGGGGCAGTCATAAGTGTATTTATTCAGTACCATTGTAACTTTGAACAGTCGCTAAATGACTGGACATAACCTGAGGACTATCTGTATTCTTTCTTCCATAATTGACCATGTCAGTAAGGCCATATTGTGACAAAACGGCCATATTAACAAGAGGCAGCAGTCATTGTATTTGTTATCCAGTGTGGCGCTCAACGACAACAATGTGCCTGTTAAACATGGCTTTTGATGCCTGCTAGCTTCCTATCCTATTAAACTATTTTTTTTTATTCTTTTCATTAAAAATAAATGGAAATTACCATATGGCAGGGCGCTATAGCCTCTGTTTAGCAAACTTTTATGTGGAACACTAGTTCAACATTACTTCATGAAACAACACACTTTTCCAAAAACAAATTAAAACTTCTGGGATGCTTCATATTGCTGTCCAGCAGTTCCAGGAAGCAAGACAAGCTTCTGTCCTACCAGTGAGCACCCTGAGCAAATTGCATTCGTGGTTGTGTCAAGGTGAAGCATAGTGTGGCAACATGATTACTAATTATCTCATTGGTTTTACCAATGAAAGAAAATTCTGTCAAAAAAATGCAGTTTTGTGGTCTGTCTTCCTCTTTTTTATATGGTTGGTTCCTCTCAAGCCTCCCAAGAACCAAGACATGTGGAGTCATTTCTGAGTAGTTTCCTTTATTGTTCTTCACCTGTGGACATTTATAAATCTTTAGTAAGATCACACCTGGAATACTCCATTTAGTTTTTACAAAACTACATTACAAAAAAGATGTTGAGACTTTGGAAAAAGTGCAGAGAAGAGCAACTAAGATGATTAAAGGCCTTGGAAACAAAAGCATATGAAGAACGACTGCAGGAATTGGGTTTGGCTAGTTTAGAGAAAAGAAGAAATAGGGTGACATGAAAGTAATATTCCAGTATTTGAGGGGCTACCATAAAGAAGAGTGGGTCAACTTGTTTTCCAAAGCACCAGAAGGCAAGACAAGAAATAGTGGATGGAAACTAATCAAGGAGAAAAGCAACCTGAAATTAAGAAGAAACTTCCTAACAGTGAGAACAATTAACCAGTGAAACAGCTTGCCTTCAGAAATTGTAGGTGCTTCGTCACTGGAGGTTTTTAAGAGGTGACTGGACAGTCATCTGTCTGAGATGATAAAGGGTCTCCTGCTTGAGCAGGGGGTTGGACTAGAAGACCTCCAGGGGTACCTTCCTACTCTATTCTGATTGATTGATTGAGTCTTGCCAAACTAAAGCACTTATTTGCATAGCTGTAGATATACTCTGAGAGTTGCTAGGGAGTAGCCATTTTTACCCACTTCTTTCTGACTAAATGTACTAAGCTTAGCTGCCTCTTTGTCCTCTGAAATGCAGTTTCTCCCTCTTGGGAATCCAGACTACATTCCACCACAGCTGCACAGAAAAAAAAAAAACATTTTGTCCTCATAGTTTCCTTTTACTTGATTGGAACAATGGATGTAAAGTAACGTGCTATTGTAAGCTTGTAAATTATATACATTTTGCCAATAAGACTGCTTAAATATACTCCTTTGAAATATTTTCTCATTTTGAAATTATTATGAATGTGCCATTTGCTGCTTGTTTTATACAGAAGCATGCTTAGAAGAGAATCGTCTGGAATCAGAAGTATAAGCAGCAAAATTAAAGGAGTATTCAAAAGCACTACAATGGAAGGGGCTGTGCTACCTGACTATCTCCTCGCTGAAGGAGAGGATGATTTTGTGAGTTGAGCTAACAATTCTGATTGCACAGTTCAGCATTGTGTGTATTTTGTTACATATCTGCCATTTCTGCATTGTTCTTTTCATCTGTTGCAAGTCCTTTTTTGTTTTGCTTTATGTTTGTTGTCTGTCAACATAACTTACACCATGAACATGACTTTCCAGTAATGAAGCTCTTTTATTGATACAGGTAGTCCTTGACTTACAGCCACAATTTTGCCCAAAATTTCAGTTGTTAATTGAATTTCGACCCATTTTACAATCTTTCTTGCCACAGTTGTTAAGAGAATCATCACAGTTGTTAAGTTAGTAACATGGTAGTTAAGTGAATCTGGCTTCCCCCATTGACTTTGCTTGCAGAAGGTCTCAAAATTTATTTATGAGACTTATATACCGCTTTAAGTGCAAGCACTCTCTAAGCGGTGTACACCAGTAAGCAATGTATATATATATTTACATTGCCCCCAACAATCTGGGTCCTCATTTTACCTACCCCGGAAGAATGGAAGGCTGAGTCAACCTTGAGCCGGTGAGATTTGAACCGCTGACCTGCTGATCAGGTCAGCGGTTCATATGACCCTGGGACATCAGCTGACCCTGATCAGGTCAGCTGATCATATGACCCTGGGACATTGCAACAGTCATAAATATGAGTCAGTTGCCAAGCATGTGAATTTTGATCGTGTGACCATCGGGATGCTGCAATGGTCATACATGTGAACAATGGTCATAAGTCACTTTTTTCAATGCCATTGTAACTGAACAGTCACTAAATGGGCTTTTTCTAAATTGAGGAGTCTAAGCTGAGTATTTGGGATCATGCGGCACTTTTAAAAATTAATCCTCTCCATCCCGGATGCCTTTCATTTGTGTGGACTTCAGTTCCTAGAATTTTCAGTATCAGTCAGCTAGCTGGGAAATTTCAGTTGTTAAAACTCACATAATTGGAGATGCCAGTGTCTATGGGGAAGAGAGGTGTCCAAAGGAAAGTGGACATTTGCATTTGCAAGTATCTGATAGCTAGCAAAGGAATTTGTGAATAATATATTTATTTGTTGCCCCTTTCATAAAAGAAAACTATAAATGAAAGTGATTCAGATGATCTCTACTAAGTACTCTTTTTAACTATGTAATTAATTTAGATTGGTTTATAAAACACATGCAGATATGCATACAATTCAGCCTACATTGCACAAAATAAATATAATTTGATGGCCTGGTGTGGTGTGTAATTTTTCAGAACAATTCTTATTAATTTCCTATTTAATTCTTTCTAGTTGCTTCCCTGTTTGCTTACACTTTAAGAAACACTTGGGTACAGATAATCTTAGCATAGTGACTGCTTCATTTAGCAATTGTTAAAATTGTGAAGGTGCTAAAAAAAACTTTATAACCAATATCCAGGTTTATGATCTTCACAGTCTCCCGTTATAGTCAGTACACATTGTCCTTTGGCTCACCTGTTTATTTTTATCCCCCTCTTGTAGAGTGAATGGGGAATGCAATGGACTGTTTACATTAGCACTGGCAGCCAGTGCTTTTGATGTGTACTCTGTATTGTGTTCCTGCTTATTCTCATGCAATCCCTTCCTCTCCAATGAATGTGAATGTAAACATTAATGCCCTTCTTGCTAATTAAGCCAAGGTCAGAGAAAGCATTCCAAGAGCAGGAGAATAGTTAGGAGGGAAACAAAAGCTAAAAGTGTGAAACTGATTAGTCTTGTCAGTTTTAAGGTGTAATAATAATAATAATAATAATAATAATGATAATGATGATAAAGTTGGAAGGGACCTTGGAGGTCATCTAGTCCAACCCCCTGCTCAGGCAGGAAACCTTATACCATTTCTGACAAATGGCTGTCCAGTTTCTTCTTAAAACTTCCAATGTTGGCGCATTCACTGCTTCTGGAGGCAGGTTGTTCCCAGCTTTGGGGTAAGCATTCTAAAGGGCAAAGGAGCAGGGAAAGGAAAGCACAGTCATGGTCCCATTTAGTGACTGCTTTGTTTAATAACAGAGGTGTTGATTCAATTGTGATTGCTAAATGAGGACTATCTGTACAACTGCAAAACGTAAGTGCTTGGCAGTATTAGAAGAAATTCCTCATAATCAAACATCTTTGCATTTATGTTGCTTCCTTTCAAATTCTTTTGTCACTGTTGAAAAATTGTGTGTATCCTCTGTTATAGAATCATTGAATCAATTTAGTACAAAGTTAATCATAACCTATCTTGCTTTTAATTTAAAGCAAGCTAATGATAGAGTTCATATTTTGATTTTTCATCAAATTATGGTTCCATCATATTATGGTTGAGTGGAGAAAACATATCTCAAATCAGTGGTATTTTTTCAAAAGATAACTTTACATTTATTTAACTTTTAAGCGCAGTCTTATTTTTCGTTGTACAGTTTTCATTCCGTTTTGTTCAAATAGCTTGTCCTATTTAACACTTCCGTTTCCACTGTAAATACAGTGGAAGAACAGGATCGCTACTATGCACATGGTACAATACATGTAGTCACCTAGGCTGGAATGGCCTTTCATGTGGTAATTTTTACTGTAGATTGAAGAAGGCATTATGGTAATGGAAGACGATTCACCTGTGGAGGCACTTAGTATGCCTAATACACCTCGCAATCTTGCTGCTTGGAAAATTACCATTCCTTATGTTGACTTCTTTGAAGACCCCTCCCTTGAAAAGAAAGAAAGGAGAGAGAGAATTCCTGTATTTTGCATTGATGTGGAAAGAAATGACAGGCTGGCAAGTAAGCATTATAAAATGTATACACAAAGTCTTCCAACACTTTTTTAACATTTATGCTCAGTTTGACACTTGTATTGTCTCAGATAACGTTTCCAAAAACATTAAGCCCTGAAAAAATGGAAGAATGAAAACATCTGACATTTTACGACGTGAAGAACGATTGTAAAATGTGGCATTCGTCATAGATTGAGTTTCTTTTGTGAAGCTTAATGGAGGGATAACAGATCAATCGTTAGGCCCCATTTTTTGTGATCCATTTGTCCACGGTAACAACATTTCCCAAGTCCTCCAGGATAGAGCAGAACAGCTCCCCTGGCATGCACCTTCATATATTTCCCTGTACAATAACTTTCCCTAACCGCAGTGTTTCTCAACCTTGACAATTTTAAGGCATGTGGACTTCAACTTCCAGAATTCCACAGCCAGCAATGCTGGCTGTGGAATTCTGGGAGTTGAAGTCCACATGCCTTAAAATTGTCAAGGTTGAGAAACACTGCATGAGTGGTGTCCATCTGTGAAGAGATAAAGGCATTTGCAGATAAAATGCAGTCAGTTTTGTTTCCTGCAGTCTTAGGAGAGTACATTTGACATTTTCTTTTAAAATGTCCCATCAGAGGCTAGCACACAGACAGAACTGTTTGATCCCCAAAAGTAAATAAGACTTGTTAGTTCTTGGTTGACAGACTACCAGGAAATCCCAGGGTTATTGTCTAGACTGGGAAGTTGGGGGGGGGGGGAACCTCAGGAAAAGGCAGGAGCAAACCACTTCTGTATTGCTTTCTAATTTAACTACATGGACGAATCCTGAAATCCCCAGAGTCAAACTTGATAACAAGAGTGTTTATCTTAATGATGACAATAGTAAATTATGACTGCTAATAAAAGCTTTTATTAAGTTTGAAAAGTGTGAGGTTTAAAATATGGTTGAAGACTTGCTTTTAGCTCTGTTAGATGTTTCCATATAAAATGCTTTTATTCTGGACAAATAAAAAATGATAATGTTGTCTCTTTATTTTCAGTTGGGCATAAACCTGAACACTGGTCAGTCTATAGAAGATACTTTGAATTTTATGTGCTGGAATCAAAGCTAACAGAATTTCATGGTAGGCTTTCTCTGCCACCTATTTCTGGGGATATTGTTGTGTAACAGTAAAAAAAAAAAAAAAGCTTGTATAAGTGAAAATAAACTTTCAACATGTTTAAATTTTATTGTATGACCAGGTACATTCCCTGATGCTCAGCTTCCCTCGAAGAGGATTATTGGACCAAAGAATTATGAATTCCTAAAATCAAAGAGAGAAGAATTTCAAGAATACCTTCAGGTAGGAGAAAACAAGTTTTTTGGGGTTTATAAATCAGTGGAATTATATGTATTTCCTAACAGACAATTATGTTTCTCCAATATGATCAATCTATCTATCTATCTATCTATCTATCTGTAAATACCAAATACCACTTTTCAACCAACTCTATCTGTCTGTAAATACCAAATACCACATTTTCAACCAACTCTGGGCAGCTCCCAGTCAAAAATTAAAAAAATGTATAGAAAACTATAAAACTCAACCAGCTAAAATATAAAACATTAAAAACAAGAAAAATTTGGTGCTATTCAGAGCTAACGTGCCATCGTCTAATGTTCTCCCAATACTTGTGGGAAAGGGCAGGCCTTCAAAGCTTTTTGGAAGACTAGGAGAGTGGAAGCCTGGCAGAATTCAGGGAGCAGAATGTTCCATAAGGCAGAGGCTGCCCTGGAAAATCCATGCTTCCTAGCTGCCATCAGATGACAATATTTGTGGGAAGTGACAAGGAGACTGCCTCCCCTATCTGACCTGGTGGGATGGGTGGATGTCTTTAGGGAAAGGCAGCCCTGCATATATCCTGGGCACATGCCATACAGGACTTTAAAGATGATAAACAGCACCTTGAATTGCACCTGGAAAGAAACTGGCAGCCACTATAGCTCCCATAACAGAGGTGTTACATGGACAAATAAGGGCCCCCATTACTGTGTTCACTGCTATATTCCGGACCAAGTGGTTTTCAAGAGCAGCCCCATATAGAGTGCTTTGCAGTAATCTATCTTTTCTCAGCATAATTTACTTATTAGACTAAATTATCTTTACTGAAGAGACGGCCACTAGATTCTACCTTTTTGTTTTCCTCACAGAAACTTTCACAACATCCAGAACTAAGCAACAGCCAACTTTTGGCTGACTTCTTATCCCGTAATGGTGGAGAGACACAGTTTCTTGATAAAATATTGCCTGATGTAAATTTAGGTAAGAAAAGTGCTGTTATTTTTTTAAAAAAATGGATTCTGAATTGAACTGCAAGTATAAAGACAACTAAATCAAGTTGCCATCAAAAGTATGTTTTATTGTCACATTTGCATGACACAATATTGATGTTTTCATAAGAATACAAGAATGTTTCACTTTAGTACAAGACTGTAAATGAAAGCCAATAATGAGCTTTTAAAATATCTGTACAAACATTGTTATGGTTTGCTTTGGAAGCCACAGATCATTAGGTAGAAGTAGAACAAGGAAACATTTTCATTGACCTCGATAAACTGTGTTTGAGTTCTGCGAACATAATTTATCTGAAGAGTCTATTAATACTCAGAATCTTAGCTTCGTATCTGGACACATGGCGGGGGTAACTTTTTGATATGATATAAGAAGAATCTGTTTCATGAATTTAGATATGAAACAGGCAGCCCAAACAGCTTACAAAGTTAGAAAAGTGACGAGAATTAAAAAAAAAATCTATTCTTTTTTTTATCTTTTGGCATGCAGGTAAAATTATAAAATCTGTTCCCGGAAAATTAATGAAAGAGGTAAGACATCGTGTTTCCTTGTTATTTATAAACAGCATTTATCCCATATAGCTTCTATGGAAACCTGTCCATTCTAACTATTTTTGGCATCAATTTCAGAAAGGTCAGCACTTGGAACCATTCATTATCAATTTTATTACCTCCTGTGAGTCTCCCAAGCCTAAACCAAGTAAACCAGAAATTACTATTCTCAGTCCTACTTCCGAAAACAACAAAAAGGTATAGTATGTCCTGTAGACTAGTAAAATATTCTAAATATTCAAGTAGAAGTATGATACTAGTTTCATGGTTCCAATAGATGAAACCAATTAAAAGAACTTCAAGGCAAGGATTTCTTCCTTAAAGAACATTTTATTCAGGAAACAAAGTATGGGCACTTACTTAGTTGAGTCCAAGACGAAAGTTCCTTCCCCGATACAAAGTAACAATTTGCAATTCCCACCCCAGAAAGGCCGTCATAAATCACATTCACCAATTAATCTAAAATCCTCCCCACTTTACTGCCCTGCCAAAACTTTATCTAGAATTGACCTTGAAGCTCACCGGCTGCAATTGTTTACCAGGGGGAGATAACCTTGGCTCTTTTATGACTCGTGGACTTCAACTCCCAGAATTCCTGATCCAGCCATGCTGAGGAGAAATGGAGAGGTTTACATGCTAAGCCATGCTGGCTCAGGAATTCTGGGAGTTGAAGTCCACGAGTCATAAAAGAGCCAAGGTTGCCTACCCTGGTTTAGGCTAATTTAAAAAGCTCAAGCATTCCTCCCTCCCCCCTTCTACATCCGAGAACCCCAAGCAACAGAAAAAGCACAAGTAAAGTAAAAGGTAAAATGGCTGCAATTTCTTAATTGTCACAGCGTTGACAACTAGTTAATAACTCACTTTATTATGATGATTAATATATTTCTGTTTGTGTGATTATCATTTTCTTGCGTATCCCTCACCGTTACACATTTATTATGGAAAACAGTAGTTAGTTGGCACATCTGATAAAAAATAAAGGATCTTGGTGGGCATGAAACCTAGTATTGTAGAAATTAAATACAAATTATAACCTACTCTAATTTTTATTAACACTCTTTAAAATTATGATTTTTGGCCTCCAAGGACTAGGGTGGTAGAATCGCTGTGATCCAGTGCCGTTATCGATTAGGCAGATTTAAAATGTTTGTCTTTTTTTACATAAGGAAGTTAAGAAAAAAAGCTTAGTTGACCTATCCTCAAAGTGCTTTTTCAAAGGCAACTGGACTTTGTTTTTTCCTAGAAAATGTTTCACTTCTCATCCAAGAAGCTTCTTCAATTCTTTTGAAAAAGTACTTTTGGGACAACCATGACCTGGATGACTGAGAATCTCCATTGACACTTAATTTATATAAAAATAGAACCCCATACAGTTGTACCAGTATGCCATTAAAATTTGGGAGCTTTATTTGGGGCCACCAAAATTGTGAAAGAGAATTCCCACCGAATACACCCATAGCTGACGAAAAAGTATTTTGTTTGGTGATAAAATTCCATGACATTCATGCTTTTTTAAAAACCTGATTTTCTCTGGTTTTAGCTTTATAATGAACTCTATAAGAACAATGCAAACCGTTCTGAGAATTTAGAAAGAAGACAGAATGAGAACTATTTCTTGAAGATGATGACAATTGAAGGAGTTTATGACTTCCTAATGTATATTGGTAAGAAATTGCTGACAGGGTTTTATGAGAATGAGTGCAAGTGATCTGGTTTTGTTTTCTCCTTTTTCTTTTGTAATATGAGAACTTGTAGACCGGTTGCGAAATCAGCACCATCACTGTGCATTTTAATTATTTAGATTAGAATATTAATGTAGTACAGAAAACACTAGGAAACTTGTTTCGCCACAGGTAAATGAAACCAAAGTATTTTTGGAAACGGATGCCAAGAGAAGGCAAGCCAATATATGTTCCCTATTTCATGCGATCTACCAGTGGAACTTAGAGCCAAGAAAAAGTATAAAATAAGGGTTCCCACAGTCATAAGTTCCTTATTAAATTCTTAGGCAGGCTTCTGCAAGCTGGAAGAAAAGTTATTACAACATACTGCATAGGTACTAATTCTGTCCCAGGTAAATATGCATTGACAAAAATTTTCAACATACGAATATTTTTACAATTTGAGAGAGAAATAATATTTCAGATTATCTTGGGAGTCACTTAATAGTGAAATGGATGGCATATAAATTTAATGAGTGTGTGTGTATGTGTCGTATTCCTTAATCTCCCGTCTCCCTTAGAGAGGAATTGGCTGGAAACAAACAAACAAACAAATAAATAAATTTTTTTGTAAATATCTGTCAAATATAAAATAGAAGCAATTAAATAAATATTAATTTTTAGTATAAAAGGCGAACTAATATAGAAACCATTTAAGCTACTTAGCATAGACAGTTCAGTTCTTTTTTATTTGTGCATGATTTGGAAAAATCCCTTAAGTTATTCACTATAAAGTGTAAGCCTTGATTTAGGAACATGTTATTCGAGAGTATGAATACTCTGTTATGCTAAATTAACTTTGTAATCTTTTGAATTGATTTTTGTCTGTTCAGACTGTGGCAGAAATGTGTTTTAACAGGCAATATGTTGTTTGGGTTTAGAGAATGATTGAAAGATAAATAGAGTGAGTGTAAAATTCCAGAGCATGTTTGAAGAATGTATAATATCATCATACTTCTGATTGTGCATTAAAGGCAAAGAAGGACTATTTTCTATTATATATTTGAAAAGGTTGACTTGCAGTTGAAAATCGCTGCCTTGTGCTCATTTTCCTTGATAAAACCATAAAATACTCAGGATTGGACAGGAGGTGGTGAGACAAGGAGAAATTAAATAGAATCTCCTGATTAGCTATCACTGAGTAATATTTTTAAGAAATGACAAACATCGAATGATTTTGCCTGGTAGTGGACGGCAGCCCATTGGTTGGGGACCCCTGCCTTATTGGATCAGGTCATAGACTGGCTAATCCAGCAAGGCTGTTAACTAAGATATCCATGGTAGATGAAGATAGCCTTGTTCTCAGTGTCAGAGCTGAAGTATTCTGCCATCTTTCATAATTGGCTGGAAAATAAGCTTTTTAATCATGTGGATCTAAAACAGTGATTCTCAACCTTTCTAATGCCGTGACCCCATAATACAGTTCCCCATGTTGTGGTGACCCCCAAGTGGGTGTGGCCACCAATAAGAGGGAGTAGGACAGCAAAAGGGAAAAAAATGGCGAACAGCGTGGTTTGGCGACCCCCGTGAAATGGTCATTCGACCCCAAATGGGGTCCCGACCCACAGGTTGAGAACCACTGATCTAAAAGTATAAGTTGAGAAAGTAGACTTTTAATCAAAGGTGGAGCAGTTGCTTTGATGTTAAATTTGTGTTCTACAATAGTATAAAAGGTATTCTATGTTACAGCTAGAGTTGTTTTCCATATCCCTGACTGGCTTCATCACATCTTGATGGGTGGAAGGATTCTCTTCAAAAATACCTTAGAAAAATATATAGACAACTACTTGCAGTGCAAACTAGAACAACTCTTTCAGGAACACCGTCTGGTCTCACTGATAACACTTCTCAGAGGTTAGTAGAAAGCTGCAAATGAAGTCTTGTATTCACAGATGTTGTTCTGTGTACATGGAGAAGGATTGGCAGTCTATCCCAGGCAGTCTTATGTTACAGCAGAAGCTAAGTAAAACAAGTTTAATTTTACAGTGTTATTCTGAGGCCAAGTCCCTATTATTTAAGGCAGTGTTTCCCAAACTTGACCATTTTAAGGCATGAGGACTTCAACTCCCAGAATTCCACAGCCAGCGTTGCTGGCTGTGGAATTCTGGGAGTTGAAGTCCACATGCCTTAAAATGGTCAAGTTTGGGAAACACTGATTTAAGGGACTTAAATTGGCCAACTAATTAAAGCAAGTCTGCGTGAGTGGTTCTACTTTGTCCCAAAAAAGTGTTGTTGTTGTTGTTTTTTAGATGCTGTATTTTGTGAGAATTCTCAACCTCGCTCTCTCCAAGATAAGCACAAACGGGCAAAGCAGACCTTTGAAGAAATGATGAAATACATTCCAGGTTCAGTGTTTATGTGGCATGATTTATCAAGAAGAGAGGCAGTCTAAATGACCAAAGTCCATCAGGTTGAATGGCACTTGTTAATATAAACATTCTTACTATATGTTTATCAAAGCATTCTAGTATAAAAGGAGTGTAGGATTTAGAAATAGCTTCAGATGTATTATCTTGCTAAAACTCATGAAGCCCAAATGGGCTTTATAGGTATGGGTCTTTTCCTGTCCCCTTTACAAGCCATTTCCCCTTTATTCTAATAGTGGCAGTGACCAAGGCTGGTACTAGACATAGCATCTTCAGGAAGCAGTATGCCCTTTGAGTTGAGTAGCATAGGCTGTGCTATCGTATTACTGTGGTATAGTGTTTAGTGGACGAAAACATACAAATTAGAAATACCTTCATGTAACAGGTTTTAAGTCACATGCAATAGCAAGAGCACTTAGACTTATATACTGCTCCATAGTGCTTTACAGCACTCTCTGAGCAGTTTACAAATGTCAGCATATTGCCCCCAACATCTGGGTCTTCAGAAGGATGGAAGGCTGAGTCAACCTTGAGCTGGTCAGGATCAAACTCCTGGCTGTGGGCAGAGTTAGCTTGCAATACTGTACTCTAACCATTGCACCATCATGGCTGCATGCAGGCAGTGCAATTTCTAGTATATATAAACTGTGCGATTGAAGCTATGTACACTGTTTTCCAGTTAACTCACTGCTTGCCTTTGTAGGTGTGGTAGGCAACAGACTCCATACTAGATTGACTAGATTGGTAGAATGGTTCCTTTACTGCAGATCTTCCAGATGAATTTGAGTTACAGCTGCCAGCTAGTTTTTCCACTAGCGAGGAATGGAGCAAGTTTCCCAACCCTATTCTGTATGAAGGCAAAATCAGATGGAACCCAGAATTACGATAACCAAAATGTTATGCTAAATGGAACCAAAAGATGACCTCTTCTTCACTAGAACTGTTTCCCCTAAGTAAATGACAAGAGTTAAAGAAACCAGTTTTGTACTTAAATATCCAAAAGCGTATGGGTAACGTAGAAAGAGGTTTTGGAAAATGGAAGTAAAGGAGGTAGCAAGCAAACAAACAAAAATTTAGGAATCGGCTAATGGATTGTGGTGAAGGTGAACTTCGTTAGTTGCTCCACAAATATATTCTGAACCCACTTCTCAAAACCAACATCTCATGGCTGGGACATAACCGAGGCAAAATGCCAAAATGGAAATTGAAGTTTACAAGATGTGTCATACTCCCTGCATTATAGAATCAGGTCCCAAATACATTGAGTGCTTTATTAGGTGTAGATTTTTTCAACTGGTCCATAAATAAGAAAAAGAAAATTTTGGCTCTAAAAATGTGAGTTGAATGACAGAAAGTAGCAATCATACATCTGGGAAAGAATATGAAATGGAGATTAAGCAAATCCCATGTTAATCCTAGAACTCTAGGTCAACACTATAAAAGATCAGTAGTCTGGTCTTGGGAAGTGAAAATTAAATCAAGTAACTGAAGTAAGCTATTTGACTAAATATTAAAAAATATGCTATCGAAGGCAAGTTGTTGTGTTATGTTTTCAACATCTGTATTATAATGAGGGGTTTGGAAGAGACTTTGCTTACCTATTACCTGGGGAAGTGGAAATGCTATGGGACTGAGCAATAACTGATTTTTAAATTATAAGCCACCCAGAGTTGCTTTGCAGACTAAGGTGGGGCAGTGTATAAATTTAATTAATAATTAACACATAACCTTGGGGGGAATTAGTTGGGGAGCAGAGAAGTCTTGGTGCATAGCAACCGTTCCATTTGTTCAGTTTCTTCTAATGTAATCATTAGAAAAGTGCCCAAAGGCTAGGTTGAAATGTCTATGGAGCTGCGCAGGCCATTTTTCTCATTTGAGGATTTACAGTTGGGGGCTGCTTCAAAAATGAAATTCCTACCTCTCCGATATAATTTCTTTACATGATGGAAAATTCAAGATATTTAGATCATTGGTAAGAACTGTGCTCGAAAACAAATTGGAAGCCAGCGGAGCAGATTAGATATGTAATCTACATACTGCAAATTAGCCCAAATTTTACATTAACTTAGTGTTTTGGCTTTTATGGCCCTGCTGGAGAATACATCCTCAGATGAGGAAGATGGAAACCCAGCACATCCCCAGGACTCCTTATTCACACTCACTGATGCCTTCTCAGACATTCAGTCCTTAGTCCTAGGCAGAGGCACTTAATGAAGATCCGGGAGCAAAGAGCTGAACTTCACAGATCCGGGAGATTAGCTAAGAGGAATGGAAATGCAAGCAGAGAGCAGTTTCTGCATCTCCTGTGTGATGTGTCTCAGCTGTACACCAGCTGGAAACCGAATGTGGCTTATTTATTGCATTCCTTCCCTCTTTAAAGTGCTGAGAATAAATCATCAAAACCCAGTTTGACTTGCATGTATGATCCACAGCTCCATGCAGAGTGCATTATAATAATCCAGTCTTGAAGTAACCAAGGCATGAGTGACTGAAAGGCCTCCCAATCAAAGGAGAAGGTACAATTGGTTATTGCAGGTAATCAGAAGATTATCTATGGTAAGAAATATACTGGCTGCCCATGGTATATTTAAAGTGTACTGCTAAAATGTTTTACAGAAATCAGGTGTTCAGTCAATTGCCAGCAACAGTTACGCTTTTCTAGAATAGATGTTTCGGCTGACAAAGCTTTTGGGGTCTGGTTTTAAGATTGAATTCCTTTTATTTGAATTGACTTACTCATGTTTTGATGTTTTTTGCAGATCTGATAGGTAAATGTATTGGGGAAGATGCAAAATATGAAGGCATAAGACTTCTATTTGATGGATTGCAGCAGCCAGTTCTTAACAAACAGGTGGGTTCTATTGAACACACTAAGCACCTATTGTATTTAGGGATAGAATTTTTGTCAGTTTTAATTTACAGTTTTGAAATACTGTGCAATCATTACAAGTGTGTGCACAGCTGTCTTACATTAATACAGACGTGTCAAACTTGCAATGTCACGTGATGCCGTGTGCGTATCAGAGCTTTTTTTCCCATTGCCAGCAATGGGGTGGGCATGGTTTCCTGGTGACGCATCCAGTCCGCGGGCCAGCAGTTTGACACCCCTGCATTAATAGCTAGTATGCAAAACAAACTGTAAAGAAATGATGTTCTAAGTTTTAGGAATGTATTTCCAAATACTGTTTCTGTGTGATAGATGTGTGACTGAGAGAGCAGCACAATTAATAAGCTTAGTTGTGTTTCTGCAATTAATAGCAGGAACGTTAGTCAAAGAATTAAGCAATCCAGAATAGCAAATGTCATTAATGGGCTAAGTTAGGTTAAACTAGGCCAAATCTCTTGGCATTTCCAGACTCAGAGATTGGATGAGGCCCATAGAATGCTGTTTATGTTAGCCATAGCAGATCTGTTTTATATTTGTATCTGTAAATGAAAGTAATCTTTGTATCAGAGTGAATTGGGGGGGGTGTTTATGAAATGGAAGGCCTGGGGATATGAGGAGGAAGAAATGGAAGAATCTAGACAGTATAATTTGCTGAGAGAAGATGGAAAAGGAGGAAAGGGGCAGAAGAAAAAGTGATCAGGAATGGAGAACTGTAGAAGGTGATAAATAAATAAACAGCCAAACATAACTCCTGGACAGAACTGGTAACTGTTAGAGATTCATGCCAGAAAATAAGGAAGACTTAGAACAGAGATTTCAAAAGAAGTTGAATGGACATAAAGCAGGATGAATACAGAGTATGGATGGATAGGCACCAGTGGTTACTAGTTCTCAACTTCATGCTGTTGTCACTGGGCCTCTGACACATTTCCCTTTGTAAGTAGACGTAGATTACTTTGAAAATTGTTAAAGATGGATTGTAATTTATTGTGACTACTGGTTAACAGCTTACTGTATTTTTTTTAAAAAAATAATGCAGTTACTGAAATTGAGAGTACATTTTAGCTAATTTTTGAAGATTCTGGTTATCTAATGAATGATAGTTCTTTGAGCTGCTAAATTTGTGCAGACCTTTCCATGTTAAGATAGTGTTTAAAAAGTTCACTTTTCTTTGCATTTTATTTTTAGTTAACATATGTCCTACTGGATATTGGGATTCAAGAACTATTTCCAGAGTTGAATGGTATGTTGTAACACAAACAGTTCTAATTTATCTGATCAATAATGTAAAACAGCGGCCCCTGACCTTTTGGGTACCAGGGACTGGTTCTGTGGAGAGAGGTTTTTCCACAGACCGGATGGGGCGTGGTTTTGTGTGCTGCCTGCATCCTGCAGATGGGGCTTTGTTTGTTTGCCTGGCCTGGTTTCTGGAATGCCATGAATTGGGGGTTGGGGACCCCTGATCTAAAATACTAGTGTAGGCCAAATATCTTTTGTGCATAAGATTTGCTTCCTCTAATTAATTACATTTTTTTTTACTCAAAAAAGAACTAAATGAATTAAAGCATTGTAGAAAAGATGAGTTGGAGGAATCGTACTAGTTGTCTAGTGCAGGGGTAGGCAACCTTGGCTCTTTTATGACTCGTGGACTTCAACTCCCAGAATTTCTGAGTCAGCCATGCTGAGGGGACAGGAAGAGGTTTCCATTCTGAGCTGTTGGCTCAGGAATTCTGGGAGTTGAAGTCCACGAGTCATAAAAGAGCCAAGGTTGCCTACCCCTGGCCTAGTCCAACCTTACTGCAGAAATCCATTAAACCATTCCTGATGTTGGCATTCAGCCTCACTTTGAAAAATCTCCAGTAAGGGAGAGTCCACCATTTGTACTGGGAAGATTATTTTATTGCTTAACAAGTCTTGGTGTCAAGAAATCCCTCCAACCTGAATTGGATTAATTAGGGTGGACTTTTCAGCATTCATTGTAATATGGATGTATTTATTCAGCCATTATTAAATCAAATGTTCCTTCTTAGAGACATTTTTGAGGTTTTATAATAATAAAAATTATTAAAGGAAAACATAATTGCTTTAATGTGTCTCTAGTGTAGCAACTGTTGCAGCACTTTATGACAATTGTTTCCTTTTGAGACAGTGCAAAAAGAATATTTTTGTTACTGGTATTTGAATTATGTTTTGCTCATCATCAATTTATTTCTGCACCCCACTTTTTGTTACTTAGGTTAGAAGCTTCACTGGGAAAACACTCCGATATAGGAAGTTTTTTTAAACGAGTTGTATTTTTCCACTGTATTTTATTTAGATGTAAGAGCACATTTGATGTTTGTTGTAGACACATATAACTAATTTATATAAACAAATAGGAATGTTTTAATTAAAGTGTTCACTATTGCAGAAAATATTATCAGGATCACAATCTTTTTGAGTTTTCCACTTAGTGATTGCAACCAATGTAGTGTTACACATGAGGTATCCACACTGGAATGAATTAAAACTGCAGGGAAGCTTGTACAGGACCCCAGTCATTGCAAGGCGGAGCTTTGTAAAGTATTCTAATAAGTAGTGGCCCTTAATTCATCAGTGCAGAAAGGGATATCGGCCAAAATGGATTTTTTATTATGCCAATTCTGAAATGATTTTTTAGGATATCACTGTAAAGAACTTAAATAGATAATAGTTAATGTTATGGCTTTACAATGGTACCTTGGTACTCATTGTTAATTGATTCCAGAAGGCATGGTGAATACCAAAAAGATTTTTTCCATAAGGAATAATGTGAGTCACAAGGCAGCTGACATCATCAAATTTTAGCTTGTGCATTGAGTATCAAATAAACGATAAGTACCAGGCAAAATTTTCATGTCAGAACACATTGAGTACTAAATTTGATGAGTTTCAAAGCAGTTGAATACCAAGTTACCACTGTATTATTATTATTACTTATATTTATTGTACTAATTAGTGGTGGTCTTTTCATTGGCTGTTACATTTTCTCTCCCCTCCTCCCCCATTATTTTTCACAGTTTGAAAAGAATGGTTCCCTTATCTTATCAAGATCACATACAGATCAAGATACTGAATTAACTCCGTTGACTGCTGTGTGCTAATTTAATGACTAGGTTATTTGTTTAGTCTTGTATATTTGTTTGTACATATAATTAACCTTTATTTCAGAAAACAAAAACTTTTACTCAAGAAAGATTGATTAAAGCCTATTGTTTATTGAATCTCAGGAAAATTTCATTATTTATTCTTCTGAATAATTTTCGCTGAGAAAAAACGCAGAATGTAACTTTGAAAGATTATTCAGACTTCATTCATAAAGACTTTTGCATTAACTGAAGATCATGTACAAAATCAAAAATGAAAGAATGCTCTTTTTATTAAACAGATTTTACAGAAATTGTTGCATAACACCATTTACTGTCACCGGCCACTTTTCATGAGTAACTTCATTGGAATTCTCCAGCCATGCTTTGTGCTGTTATTCAGATGCAAATGGAAATCTGTGATTTATATTTCCGCCATTTGTGATGAGGATAATTATTTGCTTTTTTGGATCACTTAAATTGCTTTTAAAAATCAAAGATGCTACATATATACACATTATATACATAAATCATATACATATTGTATGTAGTGAATTTCAGAGGATTCCAACTAGTCCAAGAGCAATTAAGAATTTACATGCCAGGTTCTGAAAGTCTGCAGGAACTAAGTGTTGAGCAGCTGAAGTCCAAAGAATCTGAAATAAGGTTGAAATTAAAGAATGAAATATAAAAGTGAAATGCATAATCCCCAGGTCAAAAAAAGTTGTGCTTGGAATAAAGTCCCTGCCGAAAATATCATACGACCTTCAACTGCTGGAAAAACCTTTCCCATTCTTTTGATGTAGTCACCAACAATGGAAATATCAAGATTACCTGTTTAAAACAAATTATTTAAATAACTTAATTATTCCACATTATCCAATTATGAACTGCCTATAAATTATCTGTGTTAAATAGATTTCAAACAATGAAATTGTTTGACACAGCGCTGTTAAATTGCTTGTCTTAGTACAATACAATAAACTCACATCTCCTTGCCTTCTACTATGATAGTATACCCCTAGGACAATCTTCAAAGATTAGAATCCTTATTACATTATTCTTATAACAAATAGAGGTCACACTGTGTAAAGGGAGTAATTTCATTTTTGAAAAGTAATCACATTTGTACTTTGCCCAGGGAATCTGTAGCCAAGTATATCTGGTGGTTTTGTTCCCGTGCAACCTTCATTTTATATCACCCAGGAGTCTAGTTTTTAATAGATTAGTTTGAGAATAGTGACTGATTCACTCAGTACTCTGCTGTGAAATCAACAGCTGAGGAAGCATTTGAATCCGGCACTCCCCAATGTCAGTCAGATACTTTAGGCCAGCGGTTCTCAACGTTTGTGTGACGGCAACCCCCGTCACACAAACGTTCTGCGCAGGCGCAGTGCGGCGCGCATGGGGGCGGGCCCCCCATGCGCGGTGCGCATGCACGGCGCCGCCCCCTGAGGGGAGAAAATGGCGGATCGCCTTCTTTGGCGACCCCCGAAAAATGTTCGATCGACCCCAAATGGGGTTGCGACCCATAGGTTGAGAACCGCTGCTTTAAGCATTGTAAAACACTGGCTTTTAACTTTAATATTTTTTTAAAAAAAAAAAACAAAACCTGCACAGGATTCATTTATGGCTATTTGAAATGGAAAATACTCAAAAGTTTATCAATTTTATATAGCAGTCAATCTCATTCAAGGCAGCTCTGCTAGAGTTGTGTTTTTATGGTTGAGTATAGAATGACTGTTTGAATGCTAGTGTGCATTTTTTTGAATGACTGCCATTGTCCTTGTTGGTCTTATGCATATAAAGATTTCTCTGTCTTTCTATTCCTAGACTTTATAAACTACACACACAGTGTCGGAAGCCTGAAGAGGTTTCTTGCTGTTGTTGCACAACAAGGAGGCAGCATCAACCCTGCCACTAGATGTAGAAGAGCAGTGGAAATCTTTAGAGAGAAACTTCAGGCCTTCTAGTCTCCAATTGCATTTTTGATACACAAATCAAGTAGATTTCCCTAGCTAGTTTATAAATAAACCTGTGTTAATGGCTTGAACACAAATGCTGCTTGATTATTTTATTTGGAAGTAAAAGAGACAAAGATGATAGCAATAGTAGTAGCACTTTAGACTTATATACCATTCCGAGTGCTGTACAGCACTCTCTAAGCAGCTTAAAGAGTCAGGATATTGCCCCCCAACAATCTAGATCCTCATTTTATTGACCTCGGAAGGATAGAAGGCCGAGTCAATCTTGAGCCAGAGGATTGAACTGCTGGCAGTCAGCAGAATTAGCCTGCAATACCGCATTCTAACCACTACACTACCACGGCTTTTGATCAAAATGACACTTCGATCAAGTTATGTATTTTTATCTCAAATCTTGTTTTACAGGGAAATGGTGATGCCACTTGCACTTCTACTTTCTCTCTTGCATGATAGTTCAAATCAAACTGAATTAAATCTTTTCTGCTGCAGTTTGAAAAGGGGGACATAGAAATTGTAGCATGAGAGCAATATTGTCCTTAGTTATGTCATGTGGATTCATTTCAGGGATATGAATTCCAGTACTTCCATACTTAGTCATTCTAAGTACATTCCATCTGCTAATCACCAGAAAGGCTAATACTTACCGCTACTGTGATTACTTGAATCTCCCTTTAGCATATGATATCCATCACCACCAGCAGCAAGGAAAGAAGGTAAAAGCAATTTGTAGGTCTTTTCCTTTTCAAGTGGAACATAAGTTGGTACTCTGCACTCTGTGCAAAGAACGTTTAAGCTGAGCACCCTACTTCCTGGCTTTCGGGAGAGATCATACACCACTTTTATGCCTATTAAGAAACCACAAGTCACAAGTGTTTTAGGTACCATCTCTTGCAAATCTCTTGTTTGTATCTCTAAAAAATATTAATAAATGGTTGTGTTATTCATGGCTTTTGGGAATAGACAAATAGTAAAAGCAGATTCACAGTACCATGGATACAAGCCTGCTTACAAAAGACTTGTACTAGCAGAAAGGGAGAAGTTATTTTTAATTCATTCTAAGGTACCACTTTGTATCCGTTCCAGATTGGCATAGAAGACGATGGTGATGGTTAAAGGAAATTCCCCTCCTCCAATTTTCTTTTCCTTCCCCCCCC